GAGGGCTCGGGGCAAATCTGGGTGCCCCGCAAGCCGGCCAGGGCCTCCGAGAGAATGGGGCTGCCTTGGCTGAAAGAGGGGTCCGTTCCCAGAGAAAGCGGGGCCGAACTCAACCAGGTGTGGATCCCCAGGGAGAAGCCCGTCCCTGCTGGAGGGGGGTCTGGGGACGTCTGGGTCCACAAGGTGAGGAATCCCTCAGGGACTGGCATCATGTGGGTCTGGGCCAAGGTGACCAACTGTAGCGAGGAGGAAGCAGTGAAAGAAGCGAGAGTTTGGACCTTCCGGAAGGAGGGCCCGAGGAAGGGAGGGCAAGATGAGGGAGGGTACGGGGTCTCTTAAGAAGCATGTGGGGAAGGTTACTGGGGAGGGTGTGGGTTGGGGGAGGGAGGGACTGCAGACCGGGAGGGGTGGGGAGGACAAGCTAGGCTCATTTGGAGGAAAGGGTTAGATAAGCAAGGGGAGATTGTGTCAAGAGGGAGGGTGGCCAGAGCAAAGGGACCACTGAGTCTTCTCCTGGGGTGGCGATTCCATGAGAGAATCTGGACGGTGGTGGTGGCGGCTGCTGCTACCCGGGGAGGGAGCAGAGCCCAACTCGCCACTAGCCGCATGGGTAAGTCTGGAGGCTCTGGAGAAGCGGGGGGCTGCTTGCTGTTGCATGCCAGGTTAGCACCCGGGGTGGTCGTGCAGCTCCAAACACATACGTCTTGAGCGCAAAAAAACTGCATGAATGACTCTGGGGCCAAGGTGGGTGAGGCGGGTAAAAGGAGAGGGAACGTGCACAGGGTTGGTTCTCCTATATGTCTAACACTAGCTTATAAAGAGCCAGACCCTCCAGGCCTATTTATCTGAGAAGACCTTAGCTATCCCAGATCTCAAGCAAGAATCATTCTCTGTTCCGCTTTCTATTCAACCTCCAACTTTTTACCCCTCTTGGAGCCCCTCCAGGGCTCTGGGTGTCTTTACAGAACCATGTGAGATTGGCATGGAACTGGGATCTGAGTTCTAGCATCCAGCATCAAATGTCTACAAGCCAGATAGTTCAGAACAGAGGACACACTGCTCCATCATCTTTTTAAGAATCGGTGCACCCGGGTTCCTGGGTATTCTTTTTGGGGTCCTTGTTTGAAATTCAGATGGGCACTGTAGAGAAATGCTACAGTCCTACGGTTGTATAGTCCACATGTTCTGCTTGCCATGCTAACCTCAGTGCCTCTAGGCAACTGGACATGACCTTTGTAAGAATAGAAATACTCCCTGTGAACCTGGATTTAAAGAATGGTCTGGCTCTGGCCCACAAGGGAGCAGACCATTCCTATATACTATATCCATTCCATCAGTTGCTTTTTCAAACAGTTCTGCTGCCCTGTGGAATGGGAAATGATTTCTATGATCCGGCCTTTTGGGAAAAAAACAAATCTGTCAGGTCATGCCATCTTATTGGGGATTTTTTAACAGGTTGTTTTTAAGGTAAGCCACCCAGAGTCAGTTACGTTGGGTGGTTCTATAAGACTAATGAAATAGATAGATAGTCTTTATTACAGTCAGCAAAAGGCTGATTAAATAAATAAGCATGGTATAGAGAGAAGTTAGGAAATAGGAAAGAGAGCCAGTTTGGTGTAGTGGTGAAGGTGCTGGCGTAGAATCCAGGAGACTGAGTTTTAGGCCTCCCTTTGGCATGGAAGCCAGCTGGGACTTTGGGCCAGTCCCTCTCTCTCAGCCCAATCCACCTCACAGGGTTGTTGTTGTGAGGAAGGGGTATTATGCATGTTCACCGCCTTGAGTTATAAAAAATAAGGGCGGGATAAAAATCTAATAAATAAATAGAGCAGGGGTGGACAACCGGTGGTCTTCCAGATGTTCCTGAACTGTAGCCTGGTCAGTCTGGCTATGGTGATGGCTTCTGGGAATCACAGGGATGTTGAGTGCCGCATGTCGAGGGCTGCAGATTCTTCACACCTGGAGTAGGGCCCCTGTCCCAGTTGGCACCGTATGGATTTCATAGATGGGTTGATCTCATCCTCCCATGCTCTAGACCGAAGCCTCTCCGTGCATGCTGCCGAGCTATCCCATATGATTTTGTGACTTCCCAGCTTGCAGCTCTCCTAACCAGTTTTGACCTCCTCAGGGGCTTCAGCGATGCAGGCGAACCTGGGGGCGGCGCTGCTCGCCCTGGCTCTGTGGGCACTTTGTTCCCCGACGCTGAGCACGGAAGGCAAACGGAAACTCCAGATCGGAGTCAAAAAGCGCGTAGACAATTGTCCCATCAAGTCCCGCAAGGGCGACGTGCTCCATATGCATTACACGGTGAGTGCTGCAAAGTGGGCACGGAAGAGAGTTAATAGCCAGGGTCTTCAGGACTTTGGAATAGGAGGTAGAAGGGGACCAATTGTTTTCCAATGTTCAAGGGAGCGTTAGAAGCCAGAGCAAAATTTAAAAATCCTTGTAAACCATAGCTAAAATAGACCCCCAGGTATGTGTGTGGGGTGCATCACATTTAACTGTAATGTCAGGATTTTGTTTAGGACAGTGTTTTTCAAACTTGGCCACTTTAAGATGTTGGGCTTCAATTCCCAGAATCCCCTAGCCAGCATGGCTAGCTGGGGGATTTTGGGAGTTGAAGCCCAGACGTCTTAAAGCGGCCAAGTTTGAAAAACACTGGTTTAGCATAAACCCAACTCTTGCGGTTTATAAACTAGGGTTTCTACCGGAATGAGCAATTCTTGTTGGCTTGAGGGCCAGATAATGCTTTGTGTGGCATGTTGAAGGCCATGTTCTAGAAGTGGGAGGGGAAGGCAGGACTTATTTGAGGAGGGGGTTCAGGGACGCTTAAAATCCTCCCAACCCCCTCAGATGCAAAAGAGGGCCAAATTTTTGGTCCCACCCACTTTGGGGTTCCACACAAGGGGCACTTCTGATCTGTCAGCAGCCTCTGGACCCTCTGTGTGCCTCGGAGTTGTTGTGCAGCCCCAGTCAATTGTGGCTTATTTAATTCAACAATGGGTTTGTGTGACAGTGCGAGCACGCTAGCTGGCCAATTGAGCCTGGGGTTTTCTTCCCTGCAAAACCCAAAACTGTGAATGACCGAAGTTTAAGGTTGGGTACTCTCCCTAAAAGGAAAAGAGAAAAGCGTGTGAAACTGACACCTCCACGTTTCCCTTGGGGTCTCCTTCTTGACAGCGTTGGTCTTTACTGCTGCTGTTGCTCGGCAGTTTGTCTGGTTTGGGGAGTTCACTAGGCACTTCCTTCAGGCTAGTGTGACTTGAAAGTTGCATGTGTGATTCTTAGTCACCCTCCCAGCGTATGTACAACTCAGCTGTCTTTCAGCTACACGCCCTTGCTGACTCACACATGCAGTTTCAGAGCTTGGTGATGGGAACGTGAATGGCTGACCGTGGAAAGCTCATATTTCCTGTCCAATTTGTGGACTGCCTAGCCAATGAGAGAGAGTGATGTGGCCAAAATCCCATTCCTTGTTGTCGCCAGGTTTTCCCTTGACCTCAGGGGCCGTAACCCTTTGGTTTCTGAAAGGCACCGCTTTCTCCACCGTTCCTCCTTTTCCCTTCCCTTCCTTTATGAGTCAGGCCTTGCTCATGATGAAGTGGACGAACCTGGTCTCTAGGAACGTCCCTTGGCTCCTTGGGGCAAAAAAGGAATTTTTGATTTCTGATTGAGGTAAAACCAGAATAGTGATGTGATCGCAGCCTGTGAACTAGCACATGGGATGAAAAGGACGTTTTGCTCCCTCTTGTAATATCCGTACTCTGAGGTCACCCTGCCATTTATTTACTGTATAAATAAATAAACTATACCATCCTGCCGTATTTCACAAAGACTCGGGGCACTCTTGGAGGCTCATCCTATAGCAGAGAAAAAGCTCTTACATTTCCTAAATCCATACAGGTTGATGGTTACCTTAGATGGCTTTAACATGGGATTTAGACAAATGCCTAGAAGAAGGGGAGAAGGAATAAAGGCCAGCCTCCCACTCTTTGTTATGTCTGAAAAAGAAATCTTCCGGCTTCCGAGGTAGTCTATCTGAACCTTAGTTGTTGACCTCCTCTTTTGCTCTGAGTTAAGCGACCCCTTGGCCTGATCTAGCAGCAAGGAATTCCCATGCTAGCTTCCTACAGCGAGTCCCCCCATGTGTCGAGGGACAGAAGAGCATGAATTCAGCTGTAAGTTCTCTGTCTAGGATGCCCGGCTAGAAGAGAGCAAGGCCTACTTCTTGTCATTTTAGGATGACAAGAACCGGAGGTTGGTGTCAGAGTCGCAACTCGCTCATGGTCCATTTCATTTTCATCTCTGTGCCTCCTCAGGGAAAACTGGAAGACGGGACGGAGTTTGATAGCAGCTTAACTCGCCATCAGCCCTTTATCTTCTCCTTGGGCACCGGACAAGTCATCAAAGGCTGGGATCAGGGCCTGCTTGGGTAAAGGCCAGCTTCTGACGAGGAACGGGGGTTGGCGTGGATTTGGAGCGCCCGGGCTGGAAGAGCAGGGTCAGATATTTCATTCGCTTACTGATGTAGGCAAGTTTGAAACAGCCACCATCGTAGCCCGTTTGGTGGTGTATGGAAACATAAGCCCCCCAGTCGGGACATAAAAATTGTAGCACGGTAATTAAAACCAACAGTCAGCAATCTAAGCGGCGCAACGTTAATTTTCTGATGGCGTTCTCCTAACTCAGTATTTCTCAACCGTAGCAGCTTTAACATAAGTGGACTTCAACTCCCAGAAATTCCCCCCCCCCCCACGGGCGCGGGGGGGGGGGTGGGGGTGGTAGAGGAACCTTTTTTTTTTTGTTTTGGGGGTGGTGATCGAGGGTATTTTTGGTGGTAACAGGGTGGGTGG